GATCTGCTCAGGTCCCTTCCGACCCTAGAAACTCTGAAACCCGTGTATCTGTCTCCCCCACTCACTTAAGGGAGAGAGGGGAGGGATAGATTTGATACAAAAAAGGTGTACAAGTGAACTAAAGATTTTTCTTGGCAGTGCCTTTTATTGAACTAACTGCATGGCTGGGATAAACTTAGACAAGTTGCTGCTTCCTTGGACCTGAAGAAGAATGCATTACACTGAAAAGCCTGTCTATCCTAACCATGCAGTTGGTCTAAAAGATATTACCCACAAGAGTCTTTGCCTCTTGCATATTTCCTGGAAGCATCACAGCTACATCACTCAGCATTACTCCTGGTAAACTAAGTAAGTGTCCGATCTCAGTCCATAGCTCTTCTCCCCACTTACCGTACTTTTCCATGCTCTTTGTTATAGATTGGGTTCTCCCATCACCTAGGCGAGCTCTCTTAGAAACTTTGCCTTGTTTAAGCTTTCACAAAAGCAATTGAGGGTTAACTGATAACATTAACAGAATGAATTAGCATTGATCTTTTGGAAATGTGAGCTCAAATGTATGCTAAATTAAAATGAATTTGGTCTTGGCTTACATCTTGGTAAATGTTTGAGGGAAATGGTTCTCAGAAGGGAGTTGGAAAATCCTGGAAGCAACTTCAAAAAACAAAGTCTTAGGGAGTTGTGTTTTTTCCGGGATGGGTGGACAGATACTATTAAGGGACAGAACACTGGGGTCAAAATGATGTGGGCTCAGTTGTTCCCTGTCAGTCACCACTGGATTTTGTCATTAAATGAAGATTAAAGGTCATGCATGGCTTGCAGCTGGTACACTGGGCCTCACATAAGGGCAACCTGGAAATTGTCCTGTCAGTTGCAATTAGAGGTCTTAATTCAGTACCTTCTTTTGAATGAACTGAGGTGCAGAGGTGGTAGATGAAATTATCTTCTATGTTGGGATGACAAGACTACACACATATAATTTAAAGCAGAATCCAGCTTATTCACCTTTACCAGCCATGTTTGCAAAGCGAATAGTCCAGACCGGGATTTTCAAAGAAGCTTAAGAGAGTTAAAC